GTGAATGAAAATAAGAATTATGCATGGAATAATTTGTTTTTTATATCTAATTGTAAGATAAATATTTTTTAATTATACATTACAGACAACGGATCATTTCAATTTATTATGGGAAAGCAATTCCTCTTTTCAGTTTAAATAATGAAGAGCTTAAATTTATTCTCGCACATGTGAATGCTTGTAGAACAGAAATTAAAATCAGATAAAACCTGTGATTAATTGTACTGTTTAAAGATTATTTTCAAGGAAAACTGTATAAATCATTAGAGTTCAGTTATATAATGTGATAATTATATAACACTAATGTTAACAATTATATAACATTAAACAAGAAAGCTGCCTGTTTACAGATTTTCACATAAGGATGTAAAATAGAACAAGAAACGTGTATGAAAATGTTTTTAGAACGTTTCATGAATATGTTAGAACTGCTTTTTCTAATGCATGTAAGGCATATTTAGTGGAATTACACAACAAAGGTAGTAGTAATAATCACTGCAATTTAATTTACAAGTGAAGGTACAAACACGAACTCTTATTGAAATTCAACTGTTGTAATGGGCAGTTACATTTTAGTTTATTTGTATTGGTGTATAATGCATTCAGTTTTGTAAAAGTGTATTTTTATACACATGCTAATATATTGCAAGTATGTATTTTAAATATGCATGTTATGTATTTTCATTTTCTAAAAACTGTATCATAATCTTATGAAAATAAGCCAGATTGCTATTCTAGCCAAATTGCTAATAATTATTTCTATAGGTATACTTATTTGCATAAACAATTTGCTTGCCCATAGCAGTAATGAATAAAAACATACCATGAGAAGGATATATACGGATAGCGATCATTGAATAAAAAAAATACTAGTAAAGAAGCAGCAGAAAATGGCTAATATGAAATTTTATTTCTAAGCTCTCAAATAACTTCCTAGACTTTGCAGTTAATAGCTCAAAATAGCTGCAGTTAATGGTGAACGTAAATTATAATTAATGGTAATGGTATTCTCAAGCGTTGGTGTAATGTAGTGCCAATTCATAGTTCAATATATCTTCAATTTATGGTTCAATATTAACCATTCATGGTTTAACGTATTACCAATTCATAGTTCGACATATTACCAATTCATAGTTCAAGATATTACTAAATAATAGTCCAACGTATTATCAAATAATGGTTCAACCAAAGCGTCAAATAATGGATCAAAGTTTCACCAACTTTTGTTAGCAATTTTTTTTTTCCATAATTTGGTGAAGCCTTCAACAAAAATTTTAATAGTGTGGTCCGTGCATTTGTTATTTTTTTATCTTAATGAAACATGAAAAAGGTATATGAATTATAATTTCGTAAATGCGTAGTTCTCAACAAGTTAGTGCACAGAATCTTCAATAAATAAACAAGAAACTAATTAAACATATGTAATCTTCATCACTGCGTAACTTTTCACAGCAATAATGAAAATTCCGAATTATCTACGTTAAATTCAATGTCATAAGCTTGCGTTTAGTCTAATGTTTATAAGCCCCAATTCTATTCTTAAACCGAACATGAATTGCTAGAAGAAACACATGTCAGTTTTCAATAATGTTCAATTTCAAGGAAAGCAGAACTGAGTACTTAATCCAGTTAAAAATATTCCATAAAAGGATTACAAAATGAATGCCTAAAACCAAAATGAATTATTGTCGAAAACAGCAAGCGGTGAAACAAAAAGGACATCTCTCTGCCATGACAGGTGCCTTTTAAAGGGGCTCGCTTAATATTTCATTTAAAACATGAAAGTGAAAAAAAATTAATCCATTCTTACAAACCATTCATTCCCACGAATCGGATCACCGAAAGAAACAATGAATAATTTCATTAACTTTTCGTCAAGCTAGCTGCTGGGAAAGTATTTTTGTAGGATGGCTCATCTAACAGTGACCGACGGTACGTTTGATGGGACATGTTTCCTGTTCACGATAAAAGTAAGTGAATATATAAATTCTCGAATGTTTACTGCGTACAGTTTTCAGCTCTCCCAAGGGATCAGTAAAAAGAAATAACTTTTCCCGTAAAAAAAAAAAAAAAAAAAAAAAACAGAACTAAAGATATAATCTTTATGTTAAAAAAATAAAAAGTAAAATAGCCTTTTTTAGCTGTGAAAATCCACGTAAGACTGATTGGTCTCTATTTTTGAAAACTTTCAAATTTGATCCAGAACCTTTCTCTTGCCGCCCAGACGGAATAGTGGTTAGGGGATACTACGGCAGTACGGAAAGGCCCAGGTTCAAATCCCGGAGAAGGTATCGATGTTTGTAAATGTAAAAATTAAACTTTGGAAATTGTCATTATGAAATAGAATTCAAAGTAGTTGAAATAAAGCTAATTGTCTTCAGACTTATACTGTTACTATGCTGTTACTAAAAAAATGGGCCTATTTCATAATCTTTAGTCTGTCAAATAGCTCTTTGATAGTGAAAATTCCTTTTTTTCCTTTTCTTAATTTCTTAATCGTTACGGCACGACAATTAGACAGAAATTAATTAATTTCCATTCACTAAAAATTTTAACAGACTGTCAAAAAATTTTTAACAGACGGTTTCACTTAAATAAGAGCTCCACAACATACGTCCCTCAAGAATTCCTAGTCCCTCCCACTACCATAAATTACTTCACACAAGTCTTAACGACTGATATAATTCAAAGCCCCCGCTGCCGATAAGAATTTCTGAAACACAACCATTCTGAGTCAAGACGCGAAGAAAACACTTTGCCCATTCCCCACTAGAAAGAACGTAAGTTAATTAATGCTTTTTCTGTCCTTTATATCTTCATGTACATTCACTTTTCTTATTATATATTTTTTTTAATTTTTAATTTTATTTTTTTATTTTTTTACAAAGATTGCATTATTTTTCTTATTTTTGTAATTTTCTAATGTTTATTTCAACTACTTTGAATTCTATTTCATAATGACAATTTCCAATGTTTAATTTTTACAAATAGTTTTGAACTAAAATGCATAAACACGAGGGTGTCAGGGGACAGTTACTCGAGCGATATCAATTTTACTGCAGAAATTGCTTTTCACTCAAAATTGAATTAGCTAAAATGCTTAATCGGAATGAGTTCTTTAGTTCTCTGTATTGGTTCTTAATCCCTTTTATTCACGGAAATGTTTGGCCTAGCTTGAATTGCCGGTTTGGCATCACCTTATTGCTCGAGTAAAGGACGAAACACCTTCGTATTTATTTCTTAATTATTGTTCATTGAACGGCAGTTGGTTTGTTCCCCTTGAAAAGTCAACTAATTTCGGATCAACGGCAATGATTACTTGCATTTAATTTAATTACTTGCTTTTAATTTATTTCTTTTTACAATTGAAATTTTGTTATTCATGATTTAATTCAAGTTCGCGTTAAACATTTTTAACAATTTACATTGAAGTTACTTCAAAACATCTTTCGAAATAGAACTTACTAAGTATAGATTCACTCTTTTAAGATAATTATACTAAAATTAATATTAGGAGATAATATAATCAATATATTAGTAAATAAATTATATATATATATATATATATATATGTTACTAAGAAATATGATTATATTATCTCCTGCATATACAAACTTAAAGCATCTTTTAAAGTTAAAATTAAATTGAAATCAAAGCAAGGCAATTCCTCAACAAAATTAATAATTGCAACCGTGTATATATACAAATAGTGAAACAGAACTGATATTCATAACCTTAAGGGGTAATATAACACGGCAAAAGTAACAATTTTCGTAATACAGTGTCTGAAGGACTGTGAAATGTGAACATGGAAATGCAGTAACTACGAAGAACAGGGAAAGATATTTTAATCACCGACATTTACAAGAAATAGTATTTGATATTTACAAGAAATTGTATTTGATATTTACCAGAATTTTTCAGATAAACAACAAATCAAATGATCAACATTTGCGTCACTATGATGGCGAATTTCGTCTAAGAGAACCAGATGACTTTCCTGAAGACTTTTTTTTTAATGGCTGGGCGCTGTATTTAATAACCAGTAAGCCTTGCGCTACTACAAGGGTCGGAAGTGGTGGGCATTGCACTATGGAAGCACCGCCAAAGCAATATCCAATAGCGGGCACATGCCTATTCAGCATTGGCCGCTAATAAGGCCAGAAGTGGTGGCCAATTTCGAGTCCGGGCTGCATATTTCACAAGTGCACATCTGTGTAGCCACCGAGGGAGTGGCTTCTAGGATGGACCAATGAGCATCCAGTAAAATTTCTGTCATGTCACATGACCTTTCGCATGCTTTAAGCAAGATGGTTGAAAATATTCTGCCACGCAATTTTTCTGTACAAAATAATGAAAGCATCGTTGATTGCTTCTGAAACTTTTCATTGCGAAGTTAAATCAATTATAGGATATTATGAAGATTTCACTACCTGGTTGAAATAAATACAAACGCATGTTGGATACTTCGCAAAAATATCGATGTGAAATATTACTTAATAAGTGGTAAATAAGATGAAGGAAAAAATATGTGATAAACATCTGAGCCCAAACGCAATCTTTACATAAAATTATACGTATGAGAAAAATATTTACACCAATTATATATGTATATAGAAGTCCACATTTTTTATTGCAGTCTATATGAAAAAGATGTTCTATAATAATAACCAATGCACAATTTTATTCAAAGTGAATTTTACTACTTTGCATTCGTATACATTTAGTGCGTTAAATTTCACATTTAATGAATGCTCACTCTGAAAGCTGTAAGAGTTCTAGATTGTGGAAAATGAAACTGCCGTTGGACAGTGTATTAACACTGACAGCATATGCTAATAAATCTTCTTGTGAATGTATTTGTGAGATTTACTGAGCCGTTCGAAACCTTTTCATGGATTTTGAATTGAGGTACAGATCTAGAAGGATAGTCAGTAAAGTATGCACATAGACACACAAGAGCGTCAACAGTTAATAAAACAAGTGTGTTGAAAACTTACCAAAGTGAGGATCCATTTCACAAACAGGAATGACACTGGAACCCTGGGACCAGCATTTTCACCTACTTCTTGCCAGTAACATGCGTTCAGTGGCTTCAATCCAAGTGGCCCCTTAAAAAAGGAGGAATTGCGTTAATGCATGCAGTAATGAAAAACACTTACCGTCCAGTACCGCTTCCATTATGGTAAACATTTACTGGTCGGTCCAACAGAACTTAAAAACTCAAAGGAAAATATTTTAAAAACGAGTTAATAAATGACACGTGTATTAAATGAAAGAGAACTGTACCAATGGAGGATTAAAAACGATTTATTTTCATTTAAACCAAAAAGAAAGAAGAACATTTTTGGTTATTAAGAGTCTTAATTATTGATTTAAGTGGTGCTTTCTTTTGGTTTGATGTTTTCATTCAGCGTCAGAGAGGAGGCGGTCAATTTATGCATGCCGAAGTATCTAGGTTTGAAAAATAGAGAAATGTTTCTCCTCGGGGCTCTCATAGAAGCTGGGGAGCATAAAAAACAGGTTTTTTTCTCTTGGTATCAACATCTGCTACTCCCCCCCCCTCAAAAATAAAACAAGTCTCTTGAGCCACTCCCCTGAAATTGACATCTTCATTACAGCTATTAACCCCCAACAACGTTGCTTAAAATACTCACTGCTGCGCGCAATTTTCTTGTAATGTCTTAATTCTGCTGCAAATGCTTTTCGATGTTAAATGACATAAATCCGGAGGGATCGTTAAGAAAACGCACAGAGCATAAAAAAAACTTACTTCTCAAGAACTTCAAATGCGTTTTACTTACTTTACTATAAAATTAGAACTGCATTAGCAGTTAAATGACACTGATTAATTATCTTTTGATTGCCTTTTTGGAAGCAGCGGGTGGGTTATTTAAAATGCATTATATTAACTATAACTAGTCAAAGGTTGGCGCCTGTTGTTGTATCCTTCTCATTTACAACTGAATAGTTATTGTTACAACTGAACAGATTGTTGTAATTTTATTACTTTGATGGATGAAAAAGGTCATGACTAATTCGGTTTAGCAGTGTAACTAACTCTTCATCGTTAGTGCCTACGTAGGTATTTCTCCCGCCTTCTTAGCATGCCTACGTAGTGTAGTGGTCTGCACACTGGGCGCGTATTCCAGAGGTCCGCGGTTCGATTCCCGGGGAATGCTTGCTCATTTTTCACATAGCCTGCTTCCGCAATAACCTAATATCTCTACAAAGTGTTGCAATAAAAATTACATGGGGGCGGGGGAATTAAGCATCTATTTCTGAGTTCAGTTTTAATTGATATCTATGAACATTGCAATGAAAAGCAGCAAAATTGGATTCGTTGCCGTCAATGCAATTTGTACTATTAGAATGGATTACGGAAAGACTAAATGCGAGGTCAAATACATATATTTTTTTAAGGGTGCGCCACGAAAATGGCCATGCAACCAGTCCGCTCGTCTGGAATTGAGTCCAGGTCGAAATACTGTATTCAGCGACTTTACCACTTGGCCGCTCATAGTAAGTGGAGCTCTAAGCTGAGAGAGATCAGTAGCCATTGTTGTATCTCTCTCTTTTTCTTTTTATATTTTGCTCAGTTAGAAGCCAATTTACTTGTAACGTCAAAGCACGTTTGACTAACATTAATCAAATCTTTGAAATACAAGCAAGATCGTGCCGGAAAGGAAATCTTGAATTCTTAGATAGAGGTAATCGACGTAGTTGAAACTTTTCAATTACTTTCTGCCCGTACGAACATAAATCATTAAATGCAAACTAAAATAAAAAGAGAAAATTAAGGAATATAAAATAACGTTTTCAGATAAATAAGTGTAGCGGAGTTCTATTGTTAATAACTTACATTAGTGGTCTCAAATGATGGTCCCCGAAGCCACGTGGTCCACCGAGACATTTCAGTTATGGTGTTGCAAGTATTTCAAAAGGATTTACTTATTTGAGGTCACAGTTTACATTATTTTCATTTCCAGTAGAAATGAACATGAATAAAGCAGAAAATCTTTAAATCGTGAAAATCTTTAAATGAAGCTAATGAATTTAAAATGTGATATAAATCTTATTTAATGATTTGAAGATACAGATTTGATTCAATTTTAATCGCACTTGTTAAAAAATAAATAAGCTTAGTTACCAGGTTTTGCACTAAGAATAATCACTTTGTTTGGGAATTTATAGATGGACAGCTCTTTTTCACAGATGAAAATTAAGAAGAAAATAACGTGATTGACCGACGAGCATTTACAATCAGTGATAAAGATAATTTCTAGTAATTTCTCTTCAATGTTACAAACTCTATCAGAATCGAAATGCCCTGATGAGTCAAGAAATAAAGAAGCTTGTAATTACTTACATATAAACATATGTATATATGCATTTTTGTTATTAACTTGTATTTATTTATTTTTATTAATCAGTCATTTTTACATTAATTAGCTTTTCTGTCTTTCTAGCTTTCCATTTTCCTGCCGGAATGCTAACATCTAGATCGCGCGTATCAAATGTGGAAAGAAGAGATGGTATCTAAGGGAAGGTTTTAGATGGTAAAATTAGAGCATGTTTCACTGCTGAAGGGAGGGTTTTCCCCATTTGTAATACGGATACGAACCAATTTACCTTAAAAAAAATCCATCCCGAAAGCATCCTTTTCCCATAGGCAGATAGCTCTCAAGTTGCTTTTCTTCAATCAATTTACCAATTGGTATTAAGAGATATTTTGGGATAATAAAACCATCTAAAATAACTTGGAGGGTATTCTTTGTGTATTCTTATATTGGTGATGCCCGGATTCACCCTTTTTTCTAAATCAATCATAAAATTTTTATTTTCAACACAGTAAGCATTCTCAATTCCCCCCCCCCCGTAAATATAAAAGAGTATGAGTTTATTATAGCGGCTGCATTCTACATTCGAAAACAATAAAGGGTTTTTTTCCTCAAGGAGATCACGAGATTCAAAAAATCAAGGGAATGAGAAGATAGTCTAGAGAACACTCTCATTTGAATTTTCTTAAGAATCAATTTTAGCAGGTCCCCCGCTTATTTTTCACTAGCTAGTTTGTTACACTGTACTGTTTGTTGCACTGGTTTCTGAGTTCTTTTAAAAAAGTCTTCAGAAAATGATGGAGTATGCTAAAACCTAAAATTTCCTAATTTATGGTGACAAGTCTTTTATTAGATTGAATAGAGTCTACAAAAATGGAAACAAGCAATAAGTTTTCCAATCTATTACTTCCAATGAAAGTATTCTTGCACGTTTAGATGATGAAGTAATTGATCAGTTAAGTCATCTGAATATGAAAAAATGCATGGGGGCTATCTGCCTAAGGGCAGCGATACCTTCGTGGAAGTATTTCTAATGGAAACTAGCTGGTATTCATATCACACACGGGAAAAACCTCGAAAACTAACCATAGAGTCGACTCGTTCACCTAAGATCGAACTTAAGTCGAGCTCTTAAAATTCAGCGGTCTTAACCGTTCGGCCACTAGGGAGAAAGAGCTGTTATGCACAAGAGATGACACAAAAACTGATGTAGAGAAGCCAAAATCGAATTATTTTAAAAGACGCCGATAGGCACTAACTGTCATTTCGTTGGTATATAAAGAAAATTAATTAGAAAATTAAGCATAAGTTTTATATAAAGATTTAGATTCTGTTGCTGATGCACTGAATTTTCAATCCACAAAATTACCTACAAATCCACAAAATGTACAGCAATTGCCACAGACTTCTCCATTTTATTCACAAACAGAAAACGTAGAAAGTATGATAATTCTAGATGAACATTCTGAAGATTTTATTATTTTTAGTCCAAAGGGATTTGAATCCCGAAGGACTATTAGTTTCGTTTTGGTTATTATTATTATTTCACTACAGTCACAAAGATGGAATTTTAACATCTGTAATCGAAAGAGCAATCAATTGTTTTAAAGAAAACAGAGCTAGCTTGCTTTGGTGACGAAACTATGCAATAATGTTCGCCGTAATTTGATCTCTTTTATAGCAACCATTCACATAGAATAGCAACAGCTTAGCTGGCAGTTTTATAGCGCTACACAACTGATTAAACTAGGAATGGTGTACTGGGGCAGGGTGCCATACCGTTAAATCAAAGGTTCGCAACGGAGTCGGTACGAAACCCCGGGGAAGCTGATGAAATGTTAAAGAGGGTAAATGATGATCAAGGGTTAATTGGCGGTCGATAGCCGAGTCTGCCCTGATAATTGATCAGCATAATCAAGATACCACTGATTCCAGACAAATATTAATAAAATTGATAATTAGTTGTTATTGATATAGAACAACATCATGTTGTAAAAAAGAAATCATAAAATACATACAAGGGGGAAAATAAACAAAAATTATTTTAATAAATTTTTTTAAATGTGTAATACTTTTTTAATATATGTATTTTTACGCAATAAGTGAAAATTTATATAAAAACGCAAGAATATAAGAAAACAGATCCAAAAAAATTTTGAAGAACGTTAATACTTCCTCAAAAGATATGTTACATATAAGCCATTTGCAAAATTTCAAAGGAGATTTTAATGCCTGCTTCCAAGACTTTAAAAATTTGAATGCATCAGCACGTCTCGTAGAGCTGCTGAACTGCGATATGTTTGATATTGATATTATGTTGCAAGACGTTGTTGATTGCGTTGAAAGATGTTCAAGCCCATAAGTCTTAATTCAAAACACATGTGTAAGCTAAGTTTTGGTAACTATGGAATTCATAAGTCATCTGAGAGAAATATCCTCAAATAACAGCTATTACCAAACAAACATAATTGACTTAGTCAAGTCACCAGTTTACTACGAAAAACAATTTTTTGAACGAGGCAATTTAAGAACTAAGTTAAACAGTTTTATGCTAAATGTTAAAAAAGTTTCATCGGTACATCACGCTAATTGAAACTGTTTCGTGCAATTAGAGTTTGTGGTTTTGTTTCTGAAAACTTGTTTACATTTGTAAAATTAATAATAAGACAAAAAATAATAAAACAAATCTAATAAACCCTTTTTTCCAAACTTTTGTTTGTATTCTTAGTCTAATTGTTGTCTTTAAGTTATTTATGCTCAATCATTTGTAT